TATTCATTGCTTATACTATTATGTATTTCAGGTCCATCATATCTACCATTGTTGTAAGGATCTTATGGTTTGAACTACACACGGTTTTTAGTAGGGGGAATTCATAATTTTCATCTTATGAAATTTAATTAAATTGACGTACATGTTAAGTTTAGAGTAAATACTCAATGGAAAACAACCTTAAAAAATTCCTATAAAAATTATAGCGCAATTTACTAGTCAGATTAAAAGTTATGATTTTTTTGAGCTCTTATTCTAATCTAAAGTGACCAGATATCTTCTCGAGTTTAAACTTATCTCACTAGACCATAAATTCATTTGTTAAGTCATCCTCGTAATTTGTCTAGACAAATCTTCATCTAGCTGTGGAAGATTCACACTTGGTTATCTAAAATCATTTGTTATTGCAAGCTTACCTGTATTATATATTATTGAAGATTATCTTGGCATTCCATTGTATATAATGATTAAAGTATTAGAAGTCATAAATAATGATGAACTCAAGTTTGAAGTTATTAGAGGTCATAAATAATGATGAACTAAAGTTTGAAATAAAAGAATGTGGTATAAACTACAAATAGATTTAATAAAAATAAAAAGTATAAAATTAAATATATATTTTTCTTTAGTATGCATACACTATAAATTAAATTTTAAAATTCATAGGCCAAAGATATTATAGCTACAATTTTATATTTGAAATATTTATTTATTTGAAGTGATCGAGTTTAATTTCTAATCATTAATCAAAGGCTAGTCTTTTAGATGTAAAGAGGATTGACATGGAGCACTTTCTTCATTATTGTTGGCATAATAATATTTGTTCTATTGTTTACTTAATTGTTAAAACTATCTAGATTTGAAGGAGTATGGGGTGAGTTTAAAGTGTAATTTAATAAAATAAATTTAATTATTTCATTGGATAATTTTGACTGAAGATACTAAATGTTTTTTCATATAAAGTTAAAAATTTATGATTATTGAAGGTAGAAAAAACTTTTAAATAATGGTTGAAAGTTTATATATGAGATTGATTTTATTTACATTATTGTATTTATATTTTTTTATTTAGATTAGAAATTATAATTTAATTATGATTTTATTTGTGGGGATTTCTAATGCTACATGAATTCTATTAGTTAGGCAAGTTTTTAATATAAATTTTTTTACTATAAAAGATTTTAAGTCTAGAATTAATATAAATGAAAATATCTAATTTATTTTCATTCTTACTAGAGTAATCAAATCAATTTTTTAAAAAAAAAAACAAAGAGCGATTTGGGAGCTAATGAAATTAGAGAGAGGAAATGTACAAATTGGAAGAGGAAGAGGGATCCCTGAGAATTATTGCAAAAGACTCATTTAGTTGGGTTATTTGGTAAGGGTAAGATACTCATTTTATAATAAATGTATTTATTTTCTTGAATTATGATGCAAGATTGAAAATCCCTGATTTTTAAATTATTAGGGTTCATGTAAACTTTAATGAAAATATCAAATTGTATAAATTTATAGCAAATAGGGGTTGTGAACATATGAATAAAGGTTTAATGTCAGAAGTTTAAAAACAATTTATGAAAATAGAAATCGTAAGTGACTAATCATGATTAGGTATATAAGGAGAATTTAGAAATTTTACTAAATTGTGTGATTTTTTCATATATTAATAAAGTTGAGAATGTTTAAGCTTGATAAAGAATCATGTAATGTTGATTGCTAAAAATGTATTTATTATGGTCATATAATGAAATAATGATTTTGTTATAAAGTTAATTAGGTTGTGTGATAGTACTTTAAATAATGGTATTATACTTAAACTTCGCTAACATGATGATGAAATTGTATTTAATTATGGTTATGATTCATGTGAGATAAAACACATTGATATTGGGTTATGTTTGGAAATGTGAAAAGATATAAGTATAAGAATTAGTATATTACATAAATATTTAGGGTTTTAAATGATATGATAATGTTAGAAATTGATTGGGAACTATAATTTAAATAGTTATATATATTGTGTCTTGATTGATGATTTGAAAAAAATAAGAAAATAGAAAATATATATGTTAGATGCAAAATGTTAGTAAAGATAGGAGATTATAGGCTAAATGCAAATTGGAAATATGAAAGAAATTGTGAAATTGTATTTGAAATACAAATTAGTAATATAAAAAGAATAATGATGTGTTTGAATGAGTATAAATAATGGGCTGGAATGAATTGAATGATAATTAAAGATATTTCTTTACAAATCAGAAGGAACATTTAAGATTAGACTAGTAGTTAAAAGAGCTCATACCATTATAGAGCTTGGTAGGTGTTTCTCACCTTATATATATATTAAAATGTCTTTATACAAGCAAAATGAGTTTAAGATAAAATTACAAAAATAAAATTGTGTTAAAAGAAAATCAATTGTTTGGATGTAAACTAATCATTATATGTTAAACCATTTTAAAGAAAACTAATCATAGTTGGTTGTTTGTTAATCATTACATGTTAAAATTTACAACTAAAACAATCACTATTTATTTATGTGTTAGAGTCAAATATATGGACAAAAACTAATTATATATATGTTTAAGTCAACTATATCAGTAAAGAATAAATATTTAAAATTAAGTTAATCATACTAGCAAGGACTAATGGTGCAAAAATAAATCAGTCATATTAATAACAGATAATTATGTGATATTTAGGTGGGCATAACAATTAAAATTGTGTTAGAGAATTTTAATCATGACAACGAAGCTTGTAATTAAAAAAAATAATTCAAAAGAAGTCAAACTATTAAGGTTTAGCATAATACATGAGTGTAAGATATACTCACATATTTTTATTCACTCCTTACCCTATTATGTATTTCAAGTCCATCATATCTATCATTATTGTAGTGATCTTATGGTTTGAACTGTATAGGTTTTTTACTAGGCGGAATTCATAATTTTCATCTTATGAAATTTAATTAAATTGATGTACATGTTAAGTTTAGAGTAAATACTCAATGGAAAACAACCTCCAAAAATTCCTATAAAAATTGGAGTGCAATTCAATAGTCGGATTAAAAGTTATAATTTTTTTTAGCTCTCATTCTAATTTAGAGTGACCAGATATCTTCTTGAGCTTAAATCTATCTCACTAGACCATAAATTCATCTCTTAAGTCATTCTCGTAATCTGTTTAGACAAATCCTCATTAAGTTATGGGAGATTCACATTTGGCTACCTAAAATCATTTGTTATTGCAAGCTTACCTATATTATATATTATTGAAGATTATCTTGGTATTCCATTGCATATAATGATTAAAGTATTAGAGGTCATAGATGATGATGAACTCAAATTTGAAGTAAAAGAATGTGGTATGAACTACAAATGGATTTCATAAAAATAGAAAGTACAAAATTAAATATGCATTTTTTTTCAGCATGTATATACCATAAATTAAATTTTAAAATCCATAGGTCAAAGATATTATAGCTACAATTTTATATTTGAAATATTTATTTATTTGAAGTGATCGAGTTTAATTTCTAATCATTAATCAAAGGCTAGTCTTTTAGATGTAAAGAGGATTGACATGGAGCACTTTCTTCATTATTGTTGGCATAATAATATTTGTTCTATTGTTTACTTAATTGTTAAAACTATTTAGGTGAGGAGTATGGAGTGAGTTTAAAATGTAATTTAATAAAATAAATATAATTTTTAATTTAATTATTTTATTCAATAATTTTGACCGAAGATACTAAAGGTTTTTTCTTATAAAGTTAAAATTTCATGATTATTAAAGGTAAATTTTTTTTTAAATAATGGTTGAAAGTTTATATATGAGATTGATTTTATTCAAATTATTGTATTTAGATTAGAAATTATAATTTAATTATGATTTTATTAGTGGAGTTTCCTAATGCTGCATTCTATTAGTTAGGTAAGTTTTTAATATGAATTTTTTTACCATATAAGATTTTAAGTCTAGAACTAATATAAATGAAAATATCTAATTTATTTCTATTCGAATATTTAAACTATTATTCAGACTTTTATAAAATGTCATAAGTTCTCTCTATTCCTTTATAGTAGCAGGGTTGCGATTTTAAGTTTTAACCTCATGAGAACCCCAGGTTTTTATCAATGATATATACTGCGTAATTTTGGCAATTTGTTTTTATGGATTTTTTCCAATTACCCATATTTTTACTAAATTAAGGATATTGCACTTGCGATAAATACTCAGAGATGGCATTAACATTTGGTGGAAGATAATACTTATTTTTCGTCTGTCATGCTCTAATTTGGATGAAGTAAAAATTTAGCCAGTATTGTTTTTCTTATAATATATATATTTATATAGTAGTATTTTTCGATATGCATAAGAGTAACGCTACTTCTTTTTTTTCTTCCTATCTCATTTCTCCCCGAAATTGAAACTAGAAAAATACCGATTTTTAGCCATTGGAGATCTCCTGGTGAGGACCACTTCTATTAAAGAGAAATTAACTACCCTCACTCGTTCACATTTTATATACGGTAGTGATCATCTTTCCCTCCACATATGTTTGGCATGGTTTGGTTTTTTATCCCTTAATCAATAATATCTTTTTCACCTAGAAAAAAGAAGAAGCAGCAATATCCTTGGCATGGTTGATGAGGAGCCCCACATAACAGTGACTGATATTTTTTTTCTTGGGAAAATGCATGTCAATCACTGTCAGCAGAATAAAGATAAAACTTTCATGACTCCTGATAGATGATACGCTACTTTATGAAAGTCTTCTAAGGAGTGCAGCATATCATTTTTTTTCTCGGTATCGGTGGTAGAAGACAGATCTCTTTTCCTATTTGAAAATTGAAACTTGAAAATATGAAGCAGCTAGCAGGCTTAAGATTGGAACTAGGTGCGTGGACTTCAGTGTCCACAGGTTACTCCTTTTAACCTAAAATCTTTTCTCAGCAAAGCTTCCCTAGTCGAAACGATCACGCACATCTACAAGAAGAGACCGAACAAAGAGTGACAAGGAGCTTTGGTTCCAAGTCAGAAAATAGAGTACAGAGAGACAATGCCTTTCTTCTTTCTCGAAGCAAAGAAAGAAACTAAAGAAAGAAAAGCACGTCAAGGCAGATCATCACAACGAAATTAACAAAGTTGAATGGATTTATTTATTTATTTCTTTACAACCACTTCATCTGCCTTCCGGGTGCAATGGGAAAAGCTCGAGAGTTCTATCTCCCTTCTCTCTACATGACCTGCTGTCCTCTAATTCCAAGCACTCAAAGGTCCAGCTCCTACACTTTCTTTTGTATGGACTATCCTCCTCTCTCTCCACCTCTCCCTGTACAAAAATAAGAGTATTAAATATAAACTAAGCGCAAAACATTCAAAGCTTCGTTTATCAGCGTGAATAAATTAAGAATTAAGTCTTTATGGCTGCTGAGACATACCCTAGTATCCAAAGATATAATGGTAACGGGAGATGGGGTTCTCGGACTATGGCTTAAACCAAGGCTGTTCCTCTTCTGTTTTTGCCTTTCGCGGGCTTTGTGATTTTGGAACCAGTAAAAAACATTCTTCCCTTCAATCTTGCCGTATCTGCTTAGCTGTGCAGTGATATCTTCTATTTGTTGCCCATTAGGAGTTCTCATTCCTCCCCTATACAACATCTCTAGTACACCTATCTGCTCTTGCGTTGGGTTCCAACGTGTCCCTCCCGGATGCGTCTCCCCCTATATGCATCCGAGTTTTTAATCTTTAGGTAAGAAAACCACCGTGCTTGACATAAAAATGCTTTTCTAGTTATCTTTTCTTTTCTTTTTTGACGTTTTTCTTTGAAAATTCATGTGCTGCTACTATCCATATGTTACGGTATATGTGTAGTGTAATTTAATTCGATGTTTGGAGTAATTAAGATATATAGCACAGATCAATCCAGGCAGAAGTAATTAAAAAAAAAAGATGGTATTAGCTAGATAAGAATGATCAGTACCTGATGCGAATCTTTCTTCTCGTCAGAAGAGGCAAGATTTCTAGGGCCACTTTCGGGTCTAATGAAGCTCTTGAGATCGAAAGAGGCAGCACTATGATCTGTGTTGGCCAGCTTGGGAGCGAGAGGGCGTAAACGCTTGAAACCCAGCGTAAGAAAGGGTTCGTGCTCCCAAAATCCACGTGCCAACTGATGCACCTTCATGTTTCCCATGGCGAAGGACTGAATGATAGGGAGTGGTAATTATATAGAGGATGCTAGATAAAGTGGGATATGAGGTGGTGCTTAGAAGAACCCAAGACCAAATCATTAGGGGAGGTTGACTTATGATTTCAATTTTTATAAGAAAGAACGAGGGGCACACAAATTTAACACGGAGGGAGAGAGACCATGTGTGATCGATCGAGCGTGTGGGTGTGTGAGTAACTGTGTGTATATGCGTGTGGGTTGGCCCGTCTAATCGGGTCGTTTTTTTTCTTGCTTTCATGATAAGGTGTCCCATGTTTTTCGGTGGCCTCTTCGGTTCTCTCTCAAGCTTTTTTATTTATTTTTTATTATAGTATAAAGTAGAGAGGGAGACAGTGAAAAAGATTCCTCCAATCCCAAAACTTGAAAATGGAACTTCTTTGCTTTTCAGGATACGGATAATAAATATTGGTGACTGAGAGAAGCCAGCGAGTGAATGCCGTCGTCTTGAAGTGGTAGAGAATGTTGAAAAAACAAAGCATATATAATCACAACATATCTATTTTAATGTAGCAGCATACCATATCCAAATCCAAATCCACCTCCAACTCCCCTTCTTCGAGAGCTGTAGCTAGCTCCAGTTTCCCACGTAGAATACCTCTCGAAATTATAAAAACCTCCGAACCCCACCTCTTATTCCCCTTTTTCTTAATTCTATGGCAGTATCTTATCGTGTCTTATTACACTAACAATATAATGTATTATCTCATAAGCCACTGATTAGTTGATGATAAGTACGTATTATAACATCGGGGTGAATAATAATTCTGATTCTGTGCGTTATAATTAGTTGCTGAGTGAAACTAGAGCATCGCAGAAGGATCTCACTGACTGCAATCACGGCCATCATGCCCTTTGGACTGTCAATAAGTGATTCTGCGGAGCACGTGTGATTTGGCAAATGAATTGGGAGACATTAACAGCAGACGTGCTTGATTAATCTGGATTATCATCAATCACTATGAAAAAAACATTTGCCAAATGGTAAATTTAATATATATATATATATGATTGCCACTGTGGCCGTAACTTTCTCTAGTGGTTTAGTAATTAAGGGTGCCAATGTGGACAGACCAGAGTTTATTGACTATTTACAGGAATCTCGACTGAGCTGAGCATGTTTTTCCTCTTATGGACAAGGTTACGTTCTTGGAAGCAATTGCACTTCAAATACATGTCCTGAACGCATTAAATTTGTTTCCAGTAATTGTGTGGAGAGACCTCGTGTCTTGACTTGGTTGGGGAGTCATCCATTAGTAATTTCCACAGATTTTGTGGGGGATATTAATGTGAAATAAAAATGTATTAAAATATATATTTTTATATTAACAAATTAAAAACATCAAAAAATATCTTAAAAAATCAATTTAATATTTTTAATAAAAAATAATTTAAAAAACATGTTTAAAATGAGGGATAAAGCCATTTTCCAAGTGATAACAGTGAAAAATATTAATTTAATATTCCTTTTATATAAAACAAAATTTTAAAAACATGTTAAATTAATAAGCTGTTAAAAACATTACAAGTAAATTTGATTAACTAATGTAACAAAAAATTCTTCAGGCTATGACTCTAGTGTAGCTTTCATCCATCTAGCTGGCTATATTATCCATAAGATTTTTACCTATGGACAAAATTCACTATATTTTGTTTTTTCCGGTAAACAAAGGCTTCTAAGATAAAGATTTGGCGACCGATCGAGTTGATGTGAACCTCTCTCTCTCTCTCTCTCTCTCTCTCTCGACCACATATTAATCTTGTAGTACAATAAGATCCTTCACTAACAATTGTTTTGTCCTGACATATGGATTTGGGTTGCTGAACAACTCATTCTAAACTCTTGACGGGTTTACACACAGACGACATGCAGACCTTCGGCTTTCCTCATAGCATTTAAGCTTATCTGCTCTCGCTTTCCTTGCACAATTTAAAGAACCGACAACTTGGATTTCTTTTCTTTCCTTTCTTCTTCGTATAGCGACCAATTCTTGAATTATATAAAACAACAAAAGTGAAAGAGATTTTTTAAAATTAAAAATGCCTACTTAAAAACACCCTAATTACATCATATTGAAACAAAAGATACAGTCTTAGTAAACATAAAAAACTTTGATCGCTATATTAAATTATACAAATTAGTAACTTAACTGTGAGTGAAATTTCCTTTTAAGAATTCTCAAGAAAATATAAAGTAACGTGATCAATTTAGTATAGCTGATAATCAACAATGACCTTTAAATTGTTTTCTCAAGAGATCATTTCATGCCAAACGTCTATTTTCTCAAGTTCTAAGATTACCGTCCTAAACAATTTACACAGGGAAAAACAAAATTAACTAAAAAAATAATTAAAATAAAAAAAAACATTAAAAATTCAAAACCAATATCTTTTAGACTTATTTTGTAGGCAACCATGGTTGGATATAATAAGCTGATAATCTATAAATCTAGACCAGTAAAACCTTTTAGAAACATTTGGATATGATTTGATAATTGAACTAAAAATTATTGTTATTTTTGTTAAACATGTTGTTTGGTGTGTCTAAATTTATTTATAAACTTGGTTTATAAATATATTCACAAAAAATTTCATATTAATACCCTTTAATAATACTATCTAAGTCTTTTTCATGTAAATCCTCAATCAACTTCTTTTACAATGAAGAACGAGGAATATAAAACTAATCACCTCTCATAAAGAATCTATTATGAATGAAAAAGTTATAAATATTCAGGTTTTAATACTTTTTTTATAACTCATAAAAAATCTTATAATATCTATATATATTATTTTTAAACTATCAAATCTAATAATCTATCCTCCCAAAATGACTAACAAAATTATTTTTTTATTTAAAGCATTAACAACTTTATTATAAACTTTAGCCTTATATTTAATTCTGATTGGGAGCTATTATAATTAATTAAGTTACCCATTGTATGTGAATATAGTTACTGATTCATTTCTAGCTATATAATAATTTAGCACCTCGTAATCAAAATATAACACAAATTATTCTCCTATGGGGTTGGTTTCCATTTCATTAGAGTTTAAAAATAATATAAAACTCTTTATGATCATACTTAAAGCACTTCAATCTAGCATTACTTCACGTTTCATTATAGAATTACAAGAGCCTTTTCTACTGGAACAATAAACTTCAAATTCTTACACTATAAACATGACATTCTATCTCAATCAGTTCATCAAAATTTGAAAGTAATAAATCTGGAAAATTTGAACACTTAATATGGCAATCGGTCAAAGCCACTTCATTTTTGTTGTTTTTTGAAAACTAGAAAACCCATCTAATTTTTCATTAAATTTTAAAAAATATTTTTCATATGCTTCACTCAATTGTCCCCACTTCCATGTGTGTTAACATATGGAATTAAATTTAAATAAATATTTTTTTTTGTTTTTTGTTCAAATAGCTAGCTCGCTATGCTTTACTGCTTAAACCAGATAGCAATTAATCTCTATGTTTAGCATCCACGAACTCTACAATATGCTTGCTGCTATTTAAAAGAGAACAACATGTAAGGGTTAAAAAAGTTAAAACATGAATGCCTCATGGGTGATTCTTTTGGGAATTACCTCTTCGAAGTGGCGTTGTGAAGCAAAAAGTTGCAAAGTGAAAAGCTATCATAGCTAGTGACTCCAGAAACAGGAAGCTCCCTTCCAAAAGCGATCTCTTTGAGGTTAAATTTTATTGGCCAGGTGTCATTCCATCTTGACGACAATACGTGGGGTAATGATATCAAATGTTGACATATAATTAACCTATGAGCTTGATTCCAAGTTTTTGGCCTAACGTACAATATCCCGTAACTTGATTACACCAGCACCAGCACCACCACCAGCTTCAATCACGACAACATAAAATATTTACCTCTCAAATCCCAGTCTAGTAAGAGACAGGGAGTCATGACTCTGAACCCGACCTCAGCTGTTTTGCAATCACATGACTAAAGCATGCAGCAGATGCCATGAATAGATTGCTTAATTTAATTGGTTAATTACCCACAACCATATCACAGCTGTTTATAGAGTAATAGCATTTGAAGAGTGGAAAGGGGGGCAGAAGCTTTGAGACCTCTCTTATTCTCTTGAATTGACAGTGATAATTAATTATTAAGACAAGGGCATGCTGTTTCTGCTGTAAAATTAGTGGCTGCTTGCTTGTAATTAGTTGGCACCTCTGTGCAATGCCTAGCTATAAGCAAATTAAGGGTCTTTGATTAAAGACATTAACCTTCTTGATAATGTGAGCTCGCTCAATGCCTAGTTTATATGTTTGCGTTACACTGTGGGGGTAAACAAATTTTAAACGTTGAAAAAAGGTATCAGGAGATTTTCGGTATTGTTATAATTAAACCTGAAAATATAGTTGTTTAATTTTTTTTATCAAGATAAATTTTTTTAATCAATGTGTGTTTTTTATTTGTCTTAGCAAACACATGATTTTCAATTAGAATTATTGTTTCGTTAAAAAAACATTTTATGATTGTTAAAATAAAATAACAAGATATATCAAAATAGCATGTCCATATTTTGTTACTAAAAGCTAAAAAAATATAAATATGATAAAATCATGTTTAAAATCTATTTAAAATTTCTAAGAATAAAAAAATAATTTCAATTGAATTTTCATGAATAATGTTGTGTTAGGTTTATTATTTTCACATCAACTATATAATAACTGAAAAAAATATTAAAATTAAACTAAAAATTTATAATAAGATTTAAGATTCATGACCAAACAAAAAAGTAGAAGAATTTAATAAAAAAATCAAAAATAATAAAATAAAAATATATTAGACCTGACTTACTAGGAATAAATGAAATTTGTGTCAGTTAAAGTCACACTCCTTTTTTATCTTTTTTTTTAAAAAAAAAAATTAGAAGTGAAGTATCATGTTGTGAAAATATTGTCATCCTAGTCTCCCCTTTTTTTCTTTTTTTTTTTTCAAAAAAAAAAAAAGAAACTGAAGTGAAGTATCATGCTGTGAAAATATTGTCATCCTAGTCTCTTATACCCACAACCTCTATGCTAGAAATGTGGAAAT